CGGGCAGAGATTGAGGGCCCGCTCTGTACCGAGTAGTGCGACCATTGGATCAATTGATTACTCAAACAATACACCAAATCTCGCTTCAGTTTCAAAATGGTTTCTGTTTAACATTCAATACATTATTGTAATCAATTGTCTTAAGACATTACATCAGTGTTCACATTATGATAATTAAATGTCATATAACATGTCCTTCATTTGCCTGAAGGGCCACAGATGGGCCACTCTATTGTAATGGACTAATGTAATGTCTATGGGTGCATGTAGGCAAAGCCTACTTTTGGCAAATCATGAACATGTCTAATCAACTAAATTGTAATTATTGTACACAATATATGCCAAATATTATTACCATATATTTATTATATAACTAATATCTAACTAACGGACGATTCAATGAAATTAACAATCAATGATAAAATGTGGTCAAAAGCAATACCTCTGACACAGAATCGCCACCATTTGGACACAAGTTTGCAGTCATCGAGTTGTCTATACGGAGATAATTGTGATAATATGTACTCAAACACCACTTCCGGCAGATCGTCCACCGAAACCATCTTCTTGTTGTCCATCACTTCCATCTGATCCACACTTCACTTCTGCGAGCAATTATTATGTCCACAAATTATTTAATAAAACAATTATACATTTCATTTCAATTTACAAATTATACTAAAAATTGTGATTAAAATCAAAAGAAACGAAAATAAAATTTAAAAGCTTTTATGAAATGAGGAGTGAATTAGTGATTGAATGAAAACCATTGAAAACAGACATCAAATCAAACGAAATGTTTTGTTTGTAAACATAACGACAGTATTGAGTGAATAAAGTGTAAAGCTTTACAACAACTCAAACCTTACACTCATTTGCAGTGAAATACGCGTACAGTTTGTATGCTTTCAAACTTCAGTGCCTTTACTCACAATTGTTTGGGTTTTAAAGTTTAAATGTATTGCAAATAACAATACATTTACGTTAATATCAAATACTCATTGAATTTAATTGTCATTTCAATTAATGTAATGATTAAACATATGTTAAGATAATAATAATACAAAATGAATACTTTAGTCAAGTTATCGGTTATTATCGCTATTTTCAGTTCAATTGTCATTATATTTTGGCCGCAAATTTCAAACTATAATTTCATTTCATTGAATAATTTAATTGAATATTTAAATCAACTTTTATTGAATGGCAAACAAAGGGAGACAACCAAAAGTTGTTTATCTGCGGGCGAAGTATTGATGACCAGAAGTGAATTGTCGCGATTCGACGGATCCAGTGATTCATTGGGACTCTATTTGGCATTTTTGGGTGTCATATATGACGTGTCTTCGGGCGCTCAACACTACAAACCCGGCGGAAGTTATTCATTCTTCGCCGGCAAAGACGCCACCAAAGCGTTCATAACCGGAGAGTTCACCGAAACGGGTCTCACCGACGACTTGAGTGAAGTGGATGTCGAAAGTTTTGATGGCATTCAGACGTGGAGTGATTTGTACGAAAAGGATTACCGAAGAGTCGGTAAAGTTGTCGGCACTTACTATGACTCCAATGGTTGCGAAACACAAGCCTTACAATGGGTTCGACAACAGATGCAAAGAAACGATGCGTTAAAAGAGGAGCAAAACGACGAATTGAAAGTATTTCCGTTCTGTAACTCCGAGTGGAGCGGACAGACCAACAGCGGTAGGGTTTGGTGCAGTCGTACCAGTGGTGGCCAACAACGAGATTGGATTGGAGTTCCCCGACAGCTGTTCATCGCTGAGAAGAAGCAGTACAGGTGTGCCTGTGTTCGGGACACCGGATCCCCGACACGACCCGCCATTGTCTATGAAGACGATGACAGTCACATGGAAACGGGTCCTCAAGATGTGGGAGATCTCAATCATCCGCGACTCAAAGAGTACGAAGGATGTGATCCCAAGTCGTTTGAGTGCAAAATCAAAGATTAACTTAAAATTTATACTTAATTTATTGAATATTTATAATAAAATGTAACAAAAATGATTGTTTACTGAGTTGTGACACAAGCGGGACATAAATGAAGCGTTTCGTGAATGAAAAGATCGCAATCAATGCAAAAGATATTTTTGCATTCAAGACATTGAGCGCCAGTTTTGGCCACTATTTCTTTATTACAGGCATAACATTGAACATCGAGTGTCGACTCTGGAGGCAACTCTTGGTAGAGCTCGACAGGGAATAAGTGGTGATAAGAACGCGCCAAATGGGCCGGAGATACAAGTGTTAGCCCACAAACTTGACATTCAACGGGTAGTTCGCAGTACTTAGAGCTGCATTGAGGGCACAGATATCCGGATGAACTGAAGTTTGTGTTGTTATTGAGATGACAGACACACATAGAGGCCTGAATGCGGCCCTCATTGCTATACGTGGGAAATCCCATTCGCATGAGCGACGACTCGGTCAGAGCAGAGGCCGGAGGATCCATGTGTTGGAACAGTAAGTCTTTGTAATGGCAGTCGTCTAACACCACGTCATACACGCCTTTAGTCTTGTTGGCCAGCGATCGGCAAATCCTCACCTCTGCGGCCAAACCGATGACAGAACAGCGGATATTCTGCTGACTGAGAGTATCGATGGTTTGGTTGATGTCATTGGGATCACAAGTGGTAAGACTGGCCATCAGAATGAGCACCTCTTTGCTGGTGTGTGCGGGCATATGTCTCAATGTCTTGAGCGCCAATTCCAACGAGTTCTGAAGGGATGGTTCTCCGGCGCAAACCGTTTCCGACAACTTGTGAATGGCGTCCAAATGGCTCTTCACGTTAGCACTCAATTCAGTCAACTTTTCTGCCCTTTTATTTCGTGTCATAATTAACGCCAAATGACTGATTGGGTTCTGATCTATGAATTCGTTGACAAACATTTCCAACACTTTTGTCGTGCATTTCAATCGATTTGGTCTCAAATCTGTTTGAGTCATCGCCGAAGACATGTCCACCACTATAAACAAGTGTCTCATCTATTCATACAAAGCATTCATTTCTCATTAATAAAATATATCATAGACTAAACGTATGTCTCATTCAAACCATTCCGAGCCTTAAGTTCTTCTGTCCGGCAATTCTTCGCCGTTTGGCTTTATTCACCATATCGTTGACCATCGGCTCTATCAGCCCATCGTCTGTCTCACGGATCGCTTCCCTAATCACACAATCAATCAATCAATCAATTAATGCAATCAACTATTCATGTCATCCATGTCTGCAAACCATGTCTTCTCGTATTCGGTTTCCCAACGATATCCTTTCGGGTCGTCGTCGGCGTCCATCTCGCAGTTGATCCAAACACTGATCACTTGATCGCAACTNGCAATCAACTATTCATGTCATCCATGTCTGCAAACCATGTCTTCTCGTATTCGGTTTCCCAACGATATCCTTTCGGGTCGTCGTCGGCGTCCATCTCGCAGTTGATCCAAACACTGATCACTTGATCGCAACTCTATGTCCTATAAGACAATCGTTGAGACAATTTTATGGTTAAATTGTATTCAATTTACAACTAATTTCACATCAAATCCAATGGATTTACACTCAAAACCAGCGGTGGGGGTTGCTATGGAAACTGTGAGCCAAACTATTGTTAGGCTTGAATCCAGATTAGTGTTGCTAATCGTGTCACGTTCCCGCGTGAATCACTCACTATGACAATTATAAAAGATATTATAAAATATGGTAATAATTATCATTTGAAACAAGTGAATGGTCAAAATTGTGAGTTGTAAGATATTCAGGGTTATGACCAAAATTAACAGTTAATTTAGTTAAATAAAAGTGATTTAACTTAATAACAGTTTTACAATTTATTAAATGAGTGAATCTGATTTATGGTAACATTCTATATGATTTTTAAGCCTATTTTGGCAAATTATAAGTAACTATTTGAGTAAATATTTGGGTTGTTTTTCATACTTATTATAGTGTCTTATACTTACCTAGAATGCAA